AACTTTACCCAGACTTGCCTGGATTTTACCCAAACTTTATCCGGACTTACTTTTTTCTCAAACTTTACTCAAACTTCACCCGGACTTTATCCAAACTTTATCTGGAATATACTGGGACTTTTCGCAGTAGAGTAAAATACTAACACAGAGTCAGGCTGAGCCAACATGTGAACACAGTTGTGAGTAATCAGGAGAATTCAGGAAAGACACTGACAGGCAAGACTGCAGGCTGTCAGTGAAAAGACTTGGACAGTTCAGTACAGAGCTGCTGAACATTTATTATTCTCAAGACCTCAAATTCATAAAGCTCAAATTTTTGATCAGATCAAGAAATTTTGCACGTCAACATGGCTAGTGTTCAAGTGATTGAAAAACCTGCAGTTCCACCAGTGTCCACAGGAGGCTGTTTTCTACAGTGAGCTAGCACCCATAGAACCCAAAGTTAAAACTTTACATTTCTGCAGTAAACAAATGTGCCTGCTGTGAACATGTTTATTCTGCTGTAAACATGTTTATCTCAGTCTTAAACATGTTTATTTGTGCCGCAAACATGTTTATTTCTGTCATACATTTTTATATGTGCTGTGAAACATGTTTCATCTTGCTTCCACTGGAGTGTTTCATCGAGAAAGAATATCATCCCTGTGCTATTTATCAGTTTATCTCACACACCCTCTGTACTAGTGTGTGTATGTGTGTTCTCCACGGTCTCTCCCATCAGCAGATAAGGACGTGGCGTCTTGGCCAACAGTCATAAAGTGGGCGGTGTTGCTGGTGCGCTGGTGCCGGGATGTCGCCATGGCGGCAGTAAACCCACAGCCGTGTTGCTGCTTGTTTTCCTGCACAGAGGCCGACTCTGACCAGCCACCATAAAGACAAGTTGGAAGTCAACCTTTGGTCGATGTTTTAGCAACTATGAGGGGAACACACCCTGCTGTACACACACACACACACACACACACACACACTAATGAGCATGTGCAATAGAGCTCAGATCAGGAAAGACAAACACATCTTTACATGTATGATGAACAAACATGTTTGACTAACAGACAGCTCTGAGCAGAGACCAGGACGAACCGAATAGAGAAGTTAAAAATCAACAGTCAGAAATCAGCTGGAGGAACTCTGCCAAACTGAGTATTTGATTATTAATTAAATCATTTTAACTCTGTATTTGATGAGATGTAAAGGCAACGTGATATTGAATGAAAAATTGTTGCTCATTAAAATTTGATTCAGCAACATGTTTGTAAAAAGTTATTAAAGGAACAACCAAACAGGTAAAAAGTTGTGTAATGTTTAAAAAAAAAACAGCTGGAGGAACATCTCAATGTTCAACTGGTTAGTAACGTGACTGGGTATTAAAAAGACATTCAGAGGGGCTGAGTCTCTTCAAAGGAAAGATGATACAAAAGAGACAAGGACCAAAAACAGAGACTGGATGGTCCTGATCTTCAAACCCTCAGGCAGCACTGCATTAAAAACAGACAGGGCTCTGTAGTAGAAATCACTGCATGGGTTAAAAATCCCTGAAAAACCATTGTCTGTGAACACAGTTGATCACTGAATCCACAAGTGAGGTTCAAACTGAACCATGCAAAAAGAAAACCAGATAGAAACATGATCCAGAAACAACAGAGACTTCTCTGGACCTGAGCCCATTTAAGGTGGACTGAGGGGAAGAGGGCAACTGTCCTGTGAATTGGTGGCGCAGAATCTGACATTCTTTTTGGAATCATAGATGTTGCTAGTGGTTATGTTGACAAAAAAACACATTAAATTGACTCAATGTTCTGTCATGGATACGTGATTAATACATGAGCTCACATAAACATTGAGTAAATTATCAAATCTGCTAAAAAACACTAAAAAATGAAATTGAAAGTCATTCTTGATTTAACACTGACTGTCATTGCATACAATTTAAGAAACTTACTGAAAAAATTTAAACTCATCTGAATGAGGTGATCAGTTTATTAACATGAACAGTTCCAAAGAGCATTTAAAGAAAGACAGGAAAGAGGGACTTATCCACAAACTTTTCACAATAAAAGCCAAAATACACAATAAAATATAATTTTTGTGAATAATAATTTCACCTTAATTTTTTCTTTAATTTTGACTTCATTGCACATTCATTAATGTCACATCTAAAGTGAAAAATCCTGATGTGTTCCTGATTTAATAGAGACAATAAGTGTCTGCTATAAAAACAAATCACTCATAATGTTAGTGTATAAAAACAACCGCTGAGCTCCAACAGAGAAAGAGAGAGAGCAGAGGGTTTAACAGCCCACTAACTGTCCTTATCGCTACATAAATAATGTCTCTATAAAAGTTAATCATTTACGTGTTATAATGAGAAGAGTTCAACAGCAATAAAAAGCTCTTCACTGTTTTTCTCTGCAGAGACAATGATACGCAGAACCTGTTCTCTCTGTGTGTTCTTGGAAAATCACATTTCTAACCAGTCAGAGCGATAAAGAGGGTTATTACCTGTAGCCCTTTACTTCCACATCATCTTCTTTGCATCGCTGCCTCGTTGTGTCTGTTTCTCTGTCTGTGTCTGTCTCTACACTGCTGTGATTGTTTCTTTATCAAAGTGTTTGTCTTCAGTTGGTTTGTTTAGTCCAGGTTGAGTCCTGGAGTTGGGCCTTTTCTTGTCCCGGTTTAAGTGGTGTGAATCCAGTTTTAAACTGCATTTTGCCAAGGTGTAGTCCTTGTTTTCCCATAACTGGACCTACTGTAGACTGTATTCAGTCATGAATAAGTCCCTGATGAGTCTCAGTTCACTCCTTGTTTAAACCTGCTTCTTGTATTTATGTGGCTCTAGTTAAGTTCTTATTAGTCTGTTTTAGTCTCTGTTAATGGATGGTTAAGCCCTTAAACAACACTTATTTTTTTCTGGTTTAGTCCTGGTTTAGTCCTGGTTAAACCTGTTGGTCCTAATTAAGTCATTTTATCATGCTTTCAGTCATGATTAATGTCCTGTTTTGTTCTCTTTTTTTTCAAGATCTGACTTACTCCAAGATTAAAGTCCTGGGTTAATCCTTGTTTAGCTTCACTTGTCTTGGTTTGGACCTAATTCAGATCTAGTTACAGCTTTGGCCTGGTCTGGTTCTGGTTGAGTCCTTTTTTCAGGTTTAGGCACAGGTTTGGTCCTAGTTTTAATTTGCTTTGGTCCTGCTTTTGGCCAACTTGATTTCTTGTCTTGGTTTAATCCTGAGACAAGACCAAGGCTTACTTTGGTCCTAATTTCCATCAAAGTTCAGTCCCGGTAGAGTCCTAGTTTAGTTCTGGTTACGTCTTTGTCTAGTCCTAGTTTTATTCAAGGTCTAGTCTTGGTAACTTCTGCTTTTGCCTCTTACCTTTTTTAGTTCTGGTTAAGGTGTTGTTTAAATTCAGTTTATGTGCCGATTAGTTTTGATTTAAAACTAAGTCTGAGTCCTGGGGCCTGTTCTACGAAGCAGGATTACTGCTTAGCAAGGTAATTTAGAGGGTAAGTTCGGGGTTTCCTGTTCTACGACGCGGGTTCACTTCTTAGCGAGGCGAGTCTCCATGGCAACGAACGCTGACCTGCTAACCTGCTCCGGGGCAGGTTTGGTTCCAGATTGAACTCACCGAGTATAAAAACCCACTGGCCAATGAGCTCTCTCAAAAAAATGGCTTGTCTGTTCTTGGAGGATCCTATAGACCTCAGTGCTCGCATTGTCCGAGGAGCACTCCGGCGCACAAGAGTTTACAGGGACCACACGGACCCACTTACTTTTCCGGATGACCACCTTTATGAAAGGCTCATATGGCCGACATATCACACAAAAAATTTAAACACGATAGGAATGAACAACTGAATGAATTCATCTTGGAAATGAATTAGACATGTCTGGTGCATGTTAAAAGCACATGTTGAACAGTGCTATTTCAGAGTGATAATGGCATCAAAGATTTTTTGCGCACTATACTTACGCATTGAGACTGTCAGCAATTTTCTGCCAGCATTCCTTCTGTGCTTTTTAGCGGGGACGGTGTTGCTGTTGAGGTTTATGATAGCTTTGAATTCTTCATACTTTCTCATGATCATCTCCTGCTCCTCGTTTGTACAGTACGCTTTTTTTTGCTCTCTGGCCTGCTCTAACCCTCCAGACTGGTCCATGTTCGCGATTGGTCAGATGCGGCGGGCTCCGCCTTACATGCGTGCACGCGCTCATAGCAAAGCTGGATCCACTTACTAGGTTGATAACCAGGGTCGTAAGACCGTTTAGTAAGACCGCTGGCTACCTCGCAAGGTTGAACTTGTTTCGTAGATGAGGCCCCTGCTTTAGTTTGGTCCTAGTTTTAGTACTGGTTCTACCTCTGGTTAAGTTCTATGTCAAATTTGGTCCGGGTTAAGTCCTAATTTGAGACCTTATTAAGTTCTATTTTAAGGTAAAGTTTTTTTTGTTTGTTTTAGTCCCTGTTCAGTTCTAGTTAGTCCTGGTTTGGCTTAGCTTTATTCCAGGTTGAGTCCTATTGTTCTTCTGGTTTTAGGCCCAGTTCAGTCCTGGTTGACCCCTTTTTTAGCCTTTTTTATAGCTGTCGTTTAGTCCAGACTTTGGTCCTTAGTTTTTGTCCTGGTTCTGTTTTGATTCAGTCCTTGTTGAGCCCTCATTTTAGTCCAGGTTTTGTCCTGATGTTGTTCTGGTTTAGACCGGGTTTGTTTCTGGTTTAGTCCTATTTCCATGGCTCTGGCTGAGCTGCGGGGAGTCCATGCTGTGGGTTAGATACTGAACCTGTCTCACCCTGTGTCCTCTTCTGGTTAAACTTAGTCCAGATGAGTAACAGAGAAGGTGTGTTAAAGTGGACAGGTGTCCTCTGACAGGTGAGCATCATCAGTCTGCTGTAACCTCTCCACAGGGGTGTCTCTCCTGTGCTGCAGGGCCGGGTGGAGCTCTTTCCTCTATGTCGAAGCCTCATCCACCTGTGTGATGTCATCGGAGTGTCCTGCAGGTGGGGGCTGCTCAGGCCTGAGACAAAGCGCACCAGTTCTGTGAGGCCAAAGCGGTTGTGGTAAAAGGAAAGTCCTCGTATTTAATGTCCATGTGTCCTGAAGTCAGACTGTCCAACTGAGAGCCCGTCTGCAGGGAGAAGGGACACGTTAACACTGGGTGCTGATTAAAACTGCACCAACAGTCACCTTAAAACATGCACCTCAATAATGTGTTGTCCTGAAATGCTTCCTTATATGTATGAACTGGTCTGTTTGTTTGTCTACTGTCATACATGTGATTTACTGCAAACAAAATTTACCTGAGGGTACAAATAAAGTAACCTTTGACCTTTGAAGAACACTTGACTAACACTGCTTGTTTCACGCCACTGTGAAACACGCTACTTCAACTGACGTAACTTTTCAGAGCTCTGTCTTCTGATAGGTTACACATGACTGATTGGCTCTCTGGTCTCTGGGGCGCTAACCCTGACCCTCTTTCACAGACTTCTGGTTTGGACCCTAAGTTGGTCCAGTGTGACGTATAAAGACTCATACAGCAACTTCAGTTTAGACACTGAGATTCGAGGTTCGAGATGTCTCAGCGTCTCTCAGGAGCTCACCTGAGTGGCAGATGCGACGGTCTGTCCGGCGTACGGCGAGGGGGCCATGTTGGGTTCACTCTTTATGGTGGAGGCGTGTTCAGAGACGGAGAGTGAGGGCGGGGAGCTGCTGTCAGAGGGGGTGGAGCCTAAAGGAAAGACACATGAGTATGATATTAGGTGATACTGGGGCCTTTCTGAGCTGTTATTCAGACAGTGATAGTTTCTGACTCAGTGTTTCAGACTGGGGCTACAGAGTTCATTCTTCTCTCTCACCTGTAGATGTTTTATTCTTGGGGATCTTGGGTTTCCTTTTCCTTGTCTGAATGCTTTCTTTCTTCATGGCCAGAGGTCTGGGTACCTGAGGGGGGTGGAAGAGCACAGGTGAGCTGATTCTACATCCACAGCACTGATAGAGCTGCATGTGTGTGGTTCAGAGGAGGGTTAGTCTGATAACAGTGACCGGGGTGAACCTGTGGAGGTAAATAATGAGCAGCTTCCTGCAGCAGCAGATGTTTGCTACAGGAAGTGTTTCTCTCAGGTGAGACACACCTCAACACGAGCTGTTACAGTCCACACAAACAGAGATCACCTTACCCCATGCAGCTTCATGTAGAGGCCGCAGGCATTGCACACGGGCTCCCCTTCGGCGTTGCGTCTCCACAGCGTGGTGGTGCTGGTGTGACAGTTTGTGCAGCAGAGACCGGCCCGGCGAGACGTGGTCTGCTACAGGAGAAAGGAGGACAGAGACAAGTCTGGTTAATGAGGAGAGCAATCCAGTCTGAGGGAGCAGCTCTGATTTGATTTCATTATGTTGTTAGATAAAATGTTATAAATTAAATCTTATTTAATCAAATTATTTTATTTTGTTTTTGTGTTTTGATGACTTTTACTTTATAGAGTTTTGAATTAAAGAAAGTATAATAAGACAGAGATTATGTTTGCACCTTTATTTAATATGAATTGGATCCTGTTTTGAGGATATTAAATGTAAAAGACAAACATGGTGAGGTGGCTAGATGATGAGGTTATTTAATTTTTGAGTTATTGCACAAATTAAAAAGTACAGTGTTGGTGTATTTTTTCCTTCAGTGATAAATGATATTTTTCTTTTCAAAATCACAGTTTTTCTCGCTTGATTCCACCTTTTTTTTTCTTTTTCTTTTTTCAAAAAACAGTGTACCTGTAGGAATAAAGATGGAGAATCTGACAGACTGACTCTTTGTGATCAATCAGAATTTTAAAAAGCAACAAGCAAAGGTGTGGAAATAACTGACAACAATAAACTTTATTTAGATAATGCATAAAGTTAATTCATGAAATAACTGACATCAATAAACTTTATTTAAATAGTGCACAAAGTTAATTCATGTTACTGTGAAAATAGAGAGTAATGTGTGTCTGCAGATCTGGAGCTGCAGATTCAGGACTAAAACTGATTGTCATGTTGTTTGTGTGGCAGGCTGTCGGTCAGTTTGTTGTTCACATTAGATCACTGAGGATGTTATTCTGGTGTTGAGATGGAGAAATAAAGCAGGTGCTAACTATTATATAACACAAGGGTTCCTGGTTTGTGGTTCTAAACCAGCAGCTTCCAGCTCTGACACATCATATTACATTAAAAGGCTTGGGGCTCTTTGATTGAGTAATCTCAGTGAAACATATCGAAATATTATTTCATATTCTATCTTCTTTATAAAGATGGAGTATAAATCCAGAGATGGTCCTAATGAGGTTATCAGTGAATGAACAGGATCCCGTCTCGGCTTTAAAAGACGGTTTTATTTACTTTAACTAAACACTGAAAATGTCACTAAGTGTAAATTCAGTCTGAGCTCGGCTGTTCTTAACTTTTAGACTGAGCTGCAGGATGTCTGTCTGCAGTCTGGTACAATAATCTGATTTATCACTGATAAATAAATCCTGATTTATCGTTGATCAGAGTAATCCTCCTCCAGAGCGTCCTCGCTCTGCAGCGTGTTGGTGAAGGTCGAGGTCACTGCAGGACAAACACAAACCAGAGGAACTGCTCTGAGCTGGAGCAGACTGCTGCCTCAGACACAGCCCCAGAGAAGGGGGGAGTCCTGAGAAACACACAGCCGGGAGACCTTGACCACCCCCCACCACCAACAACTCTCCTCCACTTAAACACACAGGGCTGCTCATCTACAAAACCAGCACAGTCTAGATGATATTAAACTGTTAGTACTGATTGATCCACCCTCAGATTAATACAGATGGATCTCCAAGCTCAGAGAAACATTCCCTCAAACGGTGATCTGCTGTGATCACAGATTCATTTAAGACATGAAACTTCTCTGTGACCTTCACTGTTCTTTATTTATAAAACCCTTTTCCTACAAGAATGTGACTTAAAATGCTTTACAGTCAAGTTAAAAACAAAACTGTTCACATACTGAAGTCGGTTTCTAAATCCAGACAATAAAATTTAGACCGGACTCAAAATGAAACTGATTCACCTGACAACAGATTAACCTCTGACTCATAGATAGTGTTGTTTCTTGTTGTTGTTGTGTTATTTTTGTGTGTCTTTTTTCGCTGGTCAATTGTGCGGTTTGATAAGTGGTCTGTTGATGTAGCACTGCTGTTGTTGTTGATGTCCTTGTGTAGTTTTGTGGTTGTGTGTGTGTCTCTCACCAGTCGTTTGTGAGGTTTGATCAGTGGTCTGTTGATGCCGTTCATCTTGTGGTAAAGGCCGCAGGCGTTGCACAGATAGTGACCTGTTCCATCTCTGCGCCACAGCGGCGTGGACACCGAGCCGCAGTTCACACACTCCCGACCTTCAGGGGACACATCCTCCATCAGTTCTGCAGGGAGGCACACACAGACACACACACACACACACACACACAGATCAGCTGATGACCGTCTGCAGGCTGAGCTCTCTCTCTCTCTCTCTCTCTCTCTCTCTCTCTCTCTCTCTCTGTATAAACTCTTTTAGTTTTATTCTGATCTGTTCTTCTGTGATTCTTCCTTTCAGTGATGTCCAGGTATCAGACCCCTCCCCATTTACCTGGTCTGTGGTCTGCCTATATGTGATAGCAGTTTGAGGTATTTCACCCTGTTAAAAAGAGACGCTGTTTGAAACCTCAGAGCAGAAAAATGAACTCCGGTGTTCAGAATCAACACAGGTGAGGACAGATTTAAAGCAGAAACGTGCACCTGTGGAGGAGCTGAAACAAAAATGACTGATGTGCTGTTAACTGAAATGATGAATAATGAGGCTGGGGTCTTATTTTGTTCCTTCTGAGTTAAATTCAAAATATGTGAAACCTCACATTTTTATTTTCTTTTATTTTATAAACTTTTATTGATCATGAAAGTTTGACTTAAATAAAAAAGAGCTCTGATAGATCAAGGTTTCAGAACATTCAGGACCATCTTATCACACCAATCTTTAATCATTTTGCTCTGCACTTTGACATATTTTGATTTTGATTTATTTAATTTATTTTTTAAAATATTTTTGTGTTTGACCACAGGAGTGAACAATCAGATATAGATTAGATACCCCTCTTCTTCACTTTCCTGAAATAAAAATGGTCTTTTTCTTTACTGTCGACCTCTGCAGTCATCTTTTTTTCTGGCCCAAAATTGAGCAAAATACCCAACCAGAGATTAAAAATATTAAAATTGATAAAATCCTGTTAACAAAGAGTCAAAGAGTATAACATTTAACCTCTTGGTTTTTAACATTTATCATTTATTTCCACATAAAAATATAGTTAAAGCTCATAAAGCAGAAGAAAAGAGAGCAGGGTTCAGGTCAGAGAGAAACTCTGACACTGTAAATAAAGACAAATGTTTTTATGATTCCAATTCCTAAAAAAAGAAAAAAAGAGCTGTTTGTAGCTAGAAGTCTTCAAAATCTTCATCAAGTTATCTAAAGTTTGATGTTTTATTTAGTCAGAACATGTTTAGAATTCAGTTCTTAAAGATATCCGTAAACTCAGATGAATAATCAATATAAACATGTTTATTATTGTTAAGCTCCATTTCATTTATTCATCTGAACATTTAAGATGTCAATTTAAAGCTTACCATTAATTATGATCCTTTTTTAAAGTTGGGGGCTAAATCTCAGGATTTCATTCTGTAAACTTTGTTTTAAGTGTGTTTTAAAGATGTTTGTTGATATTACTATTAGCACATTTTAAATGTTAATAATTTAAAATATGAATCTGACAGTAAATTAAAATAGTTTCAAACACAGATGTAACTTAAGTGATTGAAAATGGTTGATAAACTGAAAATGTAATTTCTCTATTTTCTGTCAACAACAAATTCAGACGGTGACTGTTTTTCCTACTTCACTTTTTTGTATAAAACTCCTTTTACACGGTTGTAAGTTCACTTTTTATACTTATCTATGCATTGTGCGCAGGATGAGAATTGTTCCTCTGCTGCTCCTTTGCTGCTGTTAACACGGCACATTTCTCGACTGAGGGACAAATAAAGCTTTATCTTATCTAAATTAGCGAATGAGTTTGGCGCATGCTCGGTGAATCTGCTCTTTCTATTCAAATGAACTCGCTAATTAATGAGTGTGTGCGTGTGTATGTGATTATGCGTGCGTATTATTGTCTCTGTCCCTCTCACCTTCGAACAAAGACGAAGAGTCAGACAGTCCGAGAGCTATTATCGGATTCTCAGAGAGTGGTTTGGTCTCAGAGTAAAAACGACAAAACAATAATAATTATAATAATAATGAGAATAAAATCAAAATTATTATTAATGGAAAAAAAAAAAACTAACATGATGCTTCTGGTTTATTTCGATCATGACAGAGAGCAGATCAGTGTGAGGCCTACAGCCTTATCTTCAGCTATCTGTATCTACAAACTCAACAGGGGAAAGATAATAATAGTTTAATTTAAAACTTATTGTTTTCATTCGGTTCATTTTCAGGAGTCTGTTTTTTAAGCTGTTTTTGTTTTTGTTTGATGATGATTGGGGCTCCTAATTTGTTGGAGAAATCATTTTGTCCGATAATCAGAATATTTAGTAAAAATGAAACAAAATAATGAATCAAATGAATTTCTTTTCTTTATTTTCACACTCCTTCATAAAAGTTTATTTACAGCCGATCACGTCCTAAAGGAACTATATGTATATATAGAGAAAAAAAACTTTTAAATGATTTTCTTATTGGTTGACATGTTCCGGTTAACAATGATACCCTATTAATAAATGATAAAAAAAGAGGTTTTAAAAATGAATCACTCAGATTTTTTTTTAATATCAAACGAATTATTAAGCGGTTTAAAAATGTCTGAGTAAGTCCGGTTGACAGCGAGGCCTGGTTCAGGAAAAGGCCGCAGGTGAGTCTGTTTCACCTGACCAATAAAGAATAATAATAATAATAATAATAATAATAATAATAATAATAATAATAATAATAATAATAATAATAATAATAATAATAATAATGTGTGTTTAGTCTCGCTCTTTGCCATCAAACTCGGTCATCAGTTTTTCACTGTCTGTCTCTCTCTCCACTGATTGATCACTTCAACTAAGATCAGAGTAAATCTCTAGAATAACTCATGTGGATCAGAATAATCTAAACCCCCTCCTCCCCCAGGATGAGGGTCCGGATTGGGGATCTGTTCTCACCCAGACTGGACCTCCTCCCGGTCCCTCCGCGGCCCTGCAGGCTGATCACTCCGTTCTCAAATGCTCCAGGAGTCCAGGAAGAGGGGGCCATGTCCGGGCTCATGTAGGTGTAGGGGCCGGAGTAAGAGCCCCCCATTGACCGCACCAGGGCCCCTCCGTACTGCTCAGCCCGGGCGCCGTTCCCGAGCAGCAGCGGGCTCTGGTAGCCGGAGTCCCGGCCGGTGCTGCTGCCGAGTGGCGGGCTGTGCGGGTAAGAGAATCCGGGCGGAGGGAGGGGGCTGCTGGGGCCGAACGATGAGCCGTCCGAGCCGGTCTGAGGCCACCCATGGTGCCCGCCCAGGCCGTGCGCCTGAGGGGACTCGCAGGTCTGCAGGTAGGGCAGGGTGGGCAGCACGCCCGGGACTCTGCCGGTCGGGACGTAGACTGGTGAGCTGGCCGTGGGGTGGATGTAGCTCCCAGTGTCATGGGAGTACGGGGTCTGGGTGGAGGACAGGGTCAGGCTCTGGTACATCCTTACAGAGTCCTGCAGGAACCGGGTACCTGGACTCAGTCTTGAGGAGAGAAGACGGTCCAGACCCGGGCCAGAAGGAAGAAACCAAAGCGGTGTCCGTGAGATCAAATAGAGAATAAACAAAGAAGAAGAAGAAGGTGCGGTGGTCCAGGTCTCCTCCTCAGACTCGGAGGAGTTTTTAATTTTTAAAAAAGTTTTAAAACTTTTTAAAAAATATATAAATGTACAACAGTGAAAGAGCAGCTCTCCGTCAGTCTGAGCCCAGATTCTGTGTCATTACAATGATGCAAACTGATCAGCTCTCTCTCTGATAACACCTCCCTCTCTCACACACACACTTGACTTTAACCACTTACTCTTTCTCTAGATGCTAGTAGTTGGTGTTGGACTTTGAGGCCTCCTCTCTCTATTATCTCACCTGTCGCGTGAAAGTGTGCGTGCGTTTTTGACGGGGTGGGGTGTGAATGATAAAGTTTCGTGGAGTCCAAACCTGCTCACTGCACACACACACAAACACACTCTGTCAGTCTCTGTCTCCTGTTTTGATGGTCTGCAGTGTAAAAGTTGAGCAGAGTTCAAACAAAGTGAAGAAAAGTTTCAGACAAGGAACTCCTGTCTCTTCTGTGTCCTCTGTCCTCTCTCTGGTGGTCCCCCGCAGGTATCCAGCCTCTCATTAGCTGACAGGTTGTGCAGCGGTCCGTATGTCTCTGCAACATTTGTTCGGCAAGAAGTCACGTGACACAGAGGGAGGGAGTGGGAGGAGGACTCGTGGAGAGAGAGAGAGTGAAAGACAGCAGGGGGCGGGGATGAATGAAGTTTTCAGAGCAGATCTTGTTTCTGATCATTTTCATCAGGGCTACAGACAGACTGAGATCACAAGTGATTTAACAGTTTTGACTTTAAATCCTTTAACATTGAACAGTTTTTCTCCTCTGCTCTCTGACTTCTTTGACTTCTTTGACTGTGGAGGACTTTTTGAACCAGTGAGGTGTAATCTGTCTCCTTCATCCTCAGAATCGTTCATACTTAAAGAAGAGATCAGTCACCACTCTGACTTTGTTTTTAATATTTAAATAGACTCATCTGATCTAAACCCACCTACACAGAATGCAGGTGTTGAATATGTTTTGATATCAACCCAACACCAGGGCTGAAAAGGGACCGACTACTTTGGGTTATTTTAACCCAGAATGTTGGGTTTTTCAAATTAACCCAGTTTTTGGGTTGACTGAATAACTCTTTTTAAGTGTCAAGTTAACCCAACATTCAAGTTAATTTGACTCATGATCTTTGGTTAAATTGATATATGCATTTGGGTTTTTTGGGGGGAGCTTTGCTATTACAACCTGTACAGAATTTTACATGTACTTTTATGTACTGATTGGTGGGAATCAGTTAGAGGTATGAGGTAGGCCATAAGGTCTAAGGACCCACACTGGTAGATGTAGTTCGCTCCTCACAGATGGTCAAAGTTCACAAGGTCTCCAGGTCTCTTTAATTGCCATTAGGCCTAGAAACCAAGTAGAGTCAATCGAACCCTACGTTCTGACCCAATTTTTGGGTTACTCTCAGAAAAATAACCCATTATTATTAACCCATTCAAAAAACCCTCAAACTGGGTTACAATAGAATCCGTATGACCCAATAAATGGGTATGGATCTGAAAAAAAACCCAGATATTTAACTCAACAGGTATAACCCAGGAATTGGGTTGAAAAAATAACCAGAGTTTTTAGAATGCTTTAACTGTATGTTCATCATGAGTTTGTCATTGAAACTTGAGATCACACCTGTCTGAATCCAAATATTCATGATTTAATATTAAAGCAAATATGAGACAGACTCCTTCCACTCTGCCTCCATCAGGAAATAAAACAGTCACTGTAGTTTGATGAGAAAGAACTTTGAAAAGTTTTTCCTGTGACAGAAAAGTGACTGATCTGATCAGTATGGTGGCCCTGAAGCTCAATTTCACAGACATTAATGACGGCCAAGCACACCACTATAACTGCAAAAGCATATTGTTATTTAAAGAAAGACTTTTTAAAAAATAAATAAACAGATAATCCATGGGTTGTAGGTGAGTTATCAAAAATTAACACACAACAAAGTCTGAGAATATTTAGTGAAAAAAACAGATTTATTCAGATCAACATACAGGATCTTTACAAGCATCATATGAAACTCACACACACACGTGCAACAGCTCGACTTGAATCTGTCATTATACAGTAATATAACCCTGATTACAGCTGTATAATAGATGTATGTGGATGGATGGATGGATGATTACATGACAGAGCAGTTGCAGCAGCAGCATGCAGCAGGATAATCCTCAGCATTGACTTTATGCTCAGTCCCATAAACAAAGAAGACATGAGACTTTCCCCTCCACTTATACGTGACTTTGGTGATGGGGAGCTCCTCGATGGTCTGTCGCTGGACACAGAAAAGACAGTTGGTCAGCAGATTGTCCACCCAGGGGACACAGGCTTTCTTTGAGAACTGGTCTCACCTGCTGAAGGATCCGTGTAGGGTGCGGGAACCTCTGTCTGTGTGCCGTCAGCAGCCGCTCTGAGGCCTTCACCACGTCAGGCTGAGGGAAGTTACTGACAGGATCGACCTGCGGAACACAGCAACACACCACCTCCTCTTTATCTGACTGTTTTTAACATCATCGCCATTATCCTCCTCTGACGGCTCTTACCCTGAGGGCAGCAGTAGAGGACAGCGCTCTCCCAGACACTTCATCCAGCCCAGGCAGCTTCAGCTCGCTGGACTGCTCCACCACCACCTCGTCTTTATTGTTCTTCCTAATGATAAATCACATTATTATAACAAGACATTATTATAGCACACAGTTTTTGTTTCCCAACTTTTCTAAATCAAAACATTTAACTTTGATAAAAACATAATTCAATAGTTTCCTAATCATTTGAAGTCTATATTGGATAATATTGCAAAGACATAGACCGATTATAGAATGGACGCCGTCTGCCTTTTCGCTGGGTGAAGCCACCCTGAGAACAGCACCCTCTACGGGTGATGGGCAGTATAGGTCATAAACCCCACCTCCTCCAGCCATCCTTATGGAGTTGTGTACAAACTTTAGAAATTTATTACACAAAATAAAAATTTTTCTCCCCCTTGCTTGAGATGTTGGTGTATGTATGGTGCTCTAGGTCTGATGGGCCTGATCTCACTGATCTTAGAAGGATCAAGCTTCATCTAGGGGTTCTTTTATTGGTACACACGTTGCACTATGTTTCTGCATTTTATGCACTCTGCTCATGCAAAAATACTGGTATGACTGACATATGCTTTTCTTTACCTTCTAAATCGTCTTTAATGCTTTTTACCTCCTGTACTGTTTATTATGTAAATGTATTTTATTTTATCTTATGATGCATGGCAGTGTTTTAAATGCCTGTGCCTGCTGCAACCCGATTTGCCCATTTTGGGGCATAATAAAGTTGAAGTGAAGCGGTAGTTACTGTCAGACTGGTTTGTGCTCAAGTCCTCTTTTTTCTGTACAGCTCCATTTTTTAAACAATATTAGTTAATGTTTTCTATGATTGACACCTTATACATCCTATGGGTGTACGAAGATTGCGTAGCTCACCCAGGGGATATGCTGTTTGAGCCGAGCATCATCACAGCGACTCTTGGCGACTCTCCCACCGAATGCGTACAAGAGGTGGAATGCGTACAACGTTACTGCGCAATGTTGGTTTCAGGAAGTGGAGAAAAATAAAACAAGTTCTCCACAGTATATACAGCCTACGTGCAAAGACAAGTAAAATGTTGAAACTGAGAAAACTGATTGTTTACCAAAAAGATTTCTGCTTATTTTAAATTCAATGCAAATAACTCGTTTTTATGATACGATAAAAAAGTGCTCTTATAAAAAATGGTTATTTATCAAATGTAATTGTATCTAATATAATGTCTTTATCCCTATCTCCATGTCCTCTGATCTGTTCATCTCTTTGAGGTAGCTTCCCTCTCAGTGGTTATTGCAGGTGAATATCCAACATGTCTGTTATTAAATATCCAGTCAGAGAGGCTCTGATTTGTTCAGTTGCAGCAAAAAAGTCATACTGACCCACACACGGGAGGATTAGTTTTACAAATACGTTAGTGAACATATCAGTCATTAAAAGCCCAGGATCAGCTCCTCCTTGATCTTAGGGTGTGGAAGATCAGGCCCTAAAACTGGCCACAAATCAGCTCAACTAAGCTCAACTAATCTAAGGATCGGCCATAGCTGCAGGCAGATATTAATGTGTTATTAGTCTTGTCATTACCAGTGGACCACCATGTTCATGACAGTGAACACCTTCTTCTCTCCATCGCAGACAGAACAGGTGAGCTTTCCGCGACCGCTGCATTTCCAACAACTGTGAAGAATCAAACATGCACCCGTCGTCGTCTGTTGGGTCAAAAACATCACTCAGGATCTGTCTTACAAAATCTCAAACTCACCTTCTCCGTCCGGCTCCACCACAGCCAAAACAGCTCCGCCTGTTACCAGACACGTAGACCGAACCACAACCACCACAAGACGTACACGGATTCTAAAAGACAAGAAGGCGGACCACTGAGGGGGGAGCAGACTTTCTGTGTGAATGTATGTGAGAGTGTGTGAGCGTGTGTCTCACACTCATTTGGTTACTTACTCTACCGCTGCTGTGACAGATATGACAGCTGGTTTTCCCGTCCCAGTCACAGCGAACACATTCCTGTAGGTAAAAACACACTGAGTGAATTAACCAGCCCTAAAACAAGCTACTGACCAATCACAGACTGTTAATCTCAGGTACACAACAAGTAACTCCTCACTCAGTAACAGGCTGTTATTGATAGATAGACAGAGAGGGGGAGCCTTTCTTGTCGCATATGTGCAGCAGCCACTTGGTCATCTGCAATTTCCAAGTTTTCTCATCTCAATGAAGCAGCCAGCACTGCCTTTGCCTGGCAGCTGCTGGCTGGCTTTGAAAGGCCTCCTGGTTCACAGGCTTGGTGTGGTCTTTGCCTGACTTAAGCAGCCCCTCGGCCTCTCAGGCTTTGCCTTTGCATCTTGTGGTGTTTTGTTCTGGTTAGCATGTAAATTGTGTACATTATAGCTTGTTTACTGCACTTTGGTGTATTGTTTGTGGGCTGCACTTTCTCCTCAGGGGGCGCCGTAAAGAGTGACCCCAGACATGTGAAGTGTCCGAGCGTAGAGATTGGATGATAGAGAACCAAGGTTAAAGGATCAGAGAAAAAATCTGGTCGGAGATGAACAAGTGAAAATCTAAATTGGTCTATGAAGAAACAAACATTGGTGCAAAGTTGCTGTTTCTTTCTGGTTCCAAAACTTTATAAACAGTAACCCAAACCTATCAGCAGCAACACATCATCATATTTACCAACATATTTACCATGATCATTTCTAAAGGCTCACTAATGCTCGCCAATGTATGCGTTCGTTTCAAACAACGTTTCTGGTTCACTGCCCACATACTTCGCAGAATAAAAAGTTTTGACCACGACAAACAAAAAGAAACATGGTGACTGTGGAGGAGCTAGTGATAATGTATATTTGCGTTGGAGGAGGCAGTAGTCGGTCAGACCACTAAATGCCTTGCGGTTGGAGGACGGAGAATTCGTTTTTCTAGTCGTACCGATGAGAGAAATTGACGATGATTCTCAAAATGCCCCACAATTGTCTGCTTAGTTTCTCTCTAGAGATATGTATCGAGTAGTGACAGCAGCAACACTGCCCCCATGGTTTCTGGTGGTACTTATCTGTCAGTGGCGTATTCTACGAAGCAGGATTACTGCTTAGCGAGGTAACTTTGAGGGTAAGTTCGGGGTTTCCTGTTCTACGATGCGGGTTCACTTCTAAGTGAGGCGAGTCTCCAGGGCAACGTACGCTGAACGGCTAACCTGCTCTGGACGGGATAGGTTCCAGATTTAACTCACCGAGTATAAAAACCCCGCCCACTGACCAATGAGCTCTCTCGAAAAATGGCTTGCCCGTTCTTGGAGGATCCTATAGACCTCGGTGCTCGCATTGTCCGAGGAGCACTGCGGCGCACGAGAGTTTTCAGGGACCTTTTTTCTGCTCTGACGCTCCAGACTGGTCCATGTTCGCGATTGGTCAGATGCGGCGGGCTCCGCCTTACATGCGTGCATGCGCTCATAGCAAAGCTGGATCCACTTACGAGGTTGATAACCAGTGTCGTAAGACCGTTTAGCGAGACCGCTGGCTACCGCGCTAAGTTGAGTGAGGTAGCTCCAAGGCTACCTCGCTAGGTCGAACTTGCTTCGTAGAACAGGCCCCAGGTCTGTATCTGTAAACTTTAAGGATACGTGCAGAAATATGGACGAACAGAACGCGAAGTACGGATGGAGAGCTCTTTCCGTATCTGGATCCATATGTAACTTTGAGCATAAATGAGCCCTAACCCTGTCTTTATGAACATGAACTCCGATTCAGTATTAATGCCAGTATCTCATGGGCGTATGCATATAAATTTGTGTGTGTGTATTGGGCTGTACCGTCACAGCCTCTGTGTTTGGGACGCTGACGGTCTGACTCTCTTCCTGGAAAAGGGGCGGAGCTGTCACTTGTATGTCCCATTTGTCTGGGGGAGGTTGTCCATCGTTGTCGATCGGCTGACCTGATATAAACATGTGATGACAGAAAGACTTCATATGTATTATTTATTTTTACAGTATATTTGGTCTATGTTTGATTTCATTATGTGACAGCTGTGGAGAGCCAGGCTGCACTGTCCTGATATCAGAGCGTTATTAAAGAAGAACACTTTACCGAAGAACGATGAAACGCTCATCTTTGTGGTACGAGTCTCAGTGAAGGTCTCTAGGCGGTACTGAGGACAGAGGAAGGACAGAAGAGACAGAGGAAGGACAGAGGATAAAAAGGACAAAGGGGACAGTGAGAGGACCTCAGACACAAAGATGGAAGTTATCATCAACTTAACTTTACAGACATTTATTTTCTTTTCTTTGAGGGGGTTAGACTAAAACCAAACTCGGGTGAAGTTTTTTTTCATTATAATCAAATAAAACGTCCTCTTAGTATCAAATAATTTTTATCTAACAAAAAGCAAAATTTAAAGACAGATGTAAAGAACAACTTTTCTCACTGCAAATGAAACTCTTTCATAGAGGGTGAAAAGAACTGACTAAAAACATCAGAATGCAAATCAAAACCTTGTTTTCCATTGATGATTTTCTTCTGTTCCACAAGTGTCCTCTGAATCTTAAGTGTTTTCATCTAACTCACCTCAAAAAGGAAAAAGCTTTTCACTTAAGAACTAAACTTCATAAATGGCTAAGACATTTTTTTAATTTGACTAACAGTTTATTTAAAAAAAAAAACCTATCAGACAATTTTTTTCTGTGTTTCATAAAGGCCATCCTGAGCTCACGTTTCACATTATTTTGACTCGTTCGTTGAGTGGAGAGCAAAGATTTAAAGCTGTAAATCATCTGTTGAACATGTTTTATAACATGTGACCTGTTCATTCGGTGATAACCTCGAAATGTGTCTCACTCTGTGTGTGTTGAAAGCCTCCATGTTGGTGATGACGGCCTGCTCTGCAGCTCTCTTACTGTAGCAGCGTTTCCCTGCTGCGTATCGGATGAAGGCTTGCTGAGCATCCTCTTTACTGACAGACACCAGGCTGAAAAATAAAACCACACAGTAAGCACACTCACACACTGAGAATCTGGACTGTAAACACACACACTGAAATTCCTCAGGAAATAAAAGGATGATATTTTAACTACTTGATCACTCTGACCTAAGGAAACTGTTTCAATGTGAAGGAAATCCCTGTGACCTGCTGCAGAGACAGTAATCTTGTATTTATCCAACGGTTTAAGTCATGAACATGGAAGCAGGCCAATAATCAGTGCTTTCTTTCAGCAAGACAATGACAAACCACATTCTGCAGGGATTACAACAGCATGGCTCTGTAGTAGAAGAGTCCTACTGAGGAACTGGTCTGCCTGCAGTCCTGACTTGTCTCCCATTGAAAACTTTTGAAGCATCATGACACCAAAAAACAGGATAAAGGAGACCCTGAACTATTTAGCAGCTGAAATCCTTCGTTAGGCCTGAATGGGACAATATTTTACTTTCTGGTCTGCTGGTTTCACCAATGTTTAAAGAGAGTTGGGATAGCAGAACTGATGACACATGATGACAAACATTAACCTGAGACTACTTTTTACAAATATCAAAGTAAAAATGAAGATGAAATTATGATAAATGTGGTGAAAAGTAGAGCTTACTTCCACTCTGGTAAAGGTGTGGCAGGGTCCGGCTGTAGGTTTTGCTCTGGCAAGTCAGGGGTTGGGACAGGTGTACCTGCAACATGAATGGCAGAGAACATGAGATGATAGAGGGCTCTGTGATTGGCTGGTTAAGTTCACTTTGAGTTCACAACTGTACCTTCATCCTGCGACACATTCTGCGGCGCATTACTGATATCAGAGGCGGGAAGGCTGCAACACATCAGGGACATGAAACACATAAAACCTCATATTAATATCAGCCTGTCAGAAAGCACTATATAAAAGACTTTGTACAGGTATGAACGGGCACCTGTTAACACTACTGCTGTCTTCAGGGGGGCGGAGCTACCTGCCCTCATTATAGAGTAAACATTTTCCCAGGTAAACTGTGTGAAATTTAGTTGTATCAACAGAAAGATTCTAGGATGTAACACTTCCTCCCCAGCCCTAGCTAACCTTGAGGCGGGGGTGGCCATCCAGGACCAAAGGAGATTATCACGATAAAGATGGCGTCATCCACATCGAACAAAAGTAATTCAGTTGTTCCATTGAGGAAAATCATAATATTATGAAGATAAAATCAGGCCTTCCGGGAAGTCGGGAAGTTGAGATCGCAACTAATAACGCAAATTCAACCAATCGCCGCGAATTCAGCGAGGCGCTGCAATTTCGTCCAATCACAGCGAATTTCTCGCAAATTTGACCAATAAATTTAGCCCTCTTTCGCCCACGCCTCTACGTGATATTACGTCATCATACTCACTTCCTTGTTTACATTGAGAAGATTAATAAATTTACCAACAAATATCCCCGCCAAAGTTTGTGCAAGTCAATTTCCAGTTGTGTTAACATGAAAGTGGAGGTAAACTCTTCTGCACTGCCTGCAGTATTGTGGTGCAACACATCGACGCTCGACAGACATTTTTTAACCGCAAAACATGCGGGGAGAACAGCTGAAACTCAAAGAGGACAGAGGAACAGTAACAGCGGCTGAAAAGATCGAGGTATGCGCGGATATACTCTTTAAAGCAATATAAGTGAAGAAGAAAAACCGCGTGGATGCATTCGTGCTTTGATTCGTGTATCATCGTGTGTGTGTGTGTGTGTGTGTGTGTGTGTGTGTGTGTGTGTGTGTGTGAGAGAGAGGGAGAAAACAAGCTCACATATGAAAATAGTAATTCAACTCGGTGCTTATATTTATGTTTTCTCTAAATTATAAGATAGAATGCAAACCAAGTTTGGGTGCCCTGTGTGCGCGCCCGTCTGTCTCTCTGTGTGGCTGTGTGTGTTTCAGATATCACTCAGAGATGCAGTGCACACTGTGTGGAAAATATCACGCATTCATCTTATGGTTTAAAGCTTAATACTCACAAACTAATTTGCAATTGCCCTTGTTCCTGTGATTTTAGTAAGCCTCAAATGATCGCAACTTTCACTGCAAACTTTTTTTAGAAAAGCTGCCACAAAATCAGGCATTTTAGGCTGCAACAGTCACAAAAAAAGCCCCACGAAATCCCAATCAAAATATTCTAAGAATTAATACATCTTATCACAAGGATAAAATCACAATATAATGTAGATAAAATCATAATATTATGAGGATTAAGTGTTGATAAAGTCAACAGCCTGGCTTGTTATCAGCGCACAGTTCAAAGGAGCAGCCCTGATAGTACGAGGATGCTTAAGTGTTATATGACCCGATGAGGTCACCTCCACACACACTCGCATTGTGAATAAGTTATTGCAGTAACAAGGTTTAAAGTCTGGCTGGCCCTACTGACCAACAGTAAGTGGACAAAACCATTCTGCTCACTTTGTGGGGGTGAGAGCAGCCTCAGAGAAAGACCCCACCTTTCCTCCATGTGAAACTTTCGAGCTGTTTTCACTCCTTGAGCTCTCCTTACTTGAAGTGCTAATTCAGAGAAGAACCTAAACATTAAGCATATTTTCATTTCAGTCCCACCCAGGCCCCCTCGTCTGTGGTGCCCCACTTCCCCTAACCACCGCACCTTTACCTGAAAATCCAGCCTGCAAATGGCCCAAAGCCTCTGACAGTGTCCATAGTCCTGAGTAGTGAGCTAAAAAACCTCAGACCCTGCACCTTTAAACCTCCCGTAAACACTAATGTTTGTCATTTAACCCTCAATATCTGACCCAAACACTCATCCTTGAACTTTCCTCTGATGCTTCTGGAACTAGTCCACCTGTAGGTTGGATTACTGGGATTCACCTTTTCATTGAGCTGTCCTAACAAGTCTGTGAAGACTCTGCAGCTCCAGATCTCACCAGAACCAGGAGGAGAGAGCATCTCTTCTCTGACTCTCCATTAGATCCAAGACAGAGTTTAGATCCCTCTGACCTACAGACCTTTAACCAGCCTCACAGAGCTCATATCATCCTGTGATTTTAACAGAGATCTGAGCTCCAGTAAATATTTGAATCTTCATCTAAAGAGGACCAGACCTCAGTGAGACAAAAAAACACACGCAGTCACACACACACACACAGCAGATAACACACTCACCTGTCCTCAGTCATGTCTTCTTCGCTGATCGGGGTTGACTGAATGACCTCTCAGCTCCACTTCCTTTTTATATGTTTTAAGAGAAGAAGAATACAGGAAACCAGGCTTTTATTCTTTTATCTCTTCCTCTTCCTGCCCCTGCTGTACGCTGTGTCCTAGGTTTCGTAGGTGTGGAGAAACATCCCCTGTAATAAACTAGCAATCATGTCTGATGAAGTTAAAAGTTAACATAAGACAAACAAATACGAAACTCATATGACAGTAAATCAGTTTCCATTACACCTTTTAAAGTAAGACTTTAGGAGAGCTGACTGTTGACTGAGGATGACAACAACCTCAGGTATCTGAGTCAGAGACAGTCAGAGCTTCTCTGATATAGGGATAAAGTGAGTCATAACAACTTCCCTGAATCTTCTCTCAACCTCTTCCTCTCACTCAAACACTCTGTCTTCAGCTTCATGTTTGTTTTCTTCAATTTGTTTGAAATCCCTCTGTGTTTTAAGACCCCTCTCTGGTTCCTAAGTTGCTGTCCTCCTCTCTTCCTCTTTCCTCTGGTGGTGTCTGTCCCTGTTTGGAATTAGACTGTTTTGATTTGGACCAATCAGAATGAAGTATTACACAGCCAGGTGATCCCGGTTTGTTCGTTCCTTTTTGACTTCTTTAGTTTAATGAACTGCTTTCTGCTTTATGGTCCAAGCTATGAGATTTCCTCACAGTCTCACTCTACATCCTAAAGCTCTTAACCTCAGTCTCCTCTCTCCTCTGTTCTCAGCCCAACCAGAACTACTTACAGACCCACCATATAATACTGTGGCGTTATAAAGGTTTTAAAAAGTTAAGAGGAGAGGGGATACAAGAGAGTTGCCGTAGTGAAAATCTTTACACTGACATGACACACCCCCATATTAAAAATCACTCACTGATTGGGCGCTGAAGTGACTCAGAATTCACTGAATCTCGGCCACATGAGAGTTAAGATATGAGGAGAGACAGACTTTAAAACAGTCAGTAAGGAGGCAGACCTTAAAATATTTAGTAAAGAGGCAGGCCTTAAAATTATATAACATATATTATATAAAATCAGTAAAAAGGCAGGAGACAGTAGGGACAATATGGGAGGAGACAAGACAGAAAAAAACAAAAGAGAAAACTGCAGAAGAGCTTACATTAATCATTCCAGACCAAACCACGCCAATCATTTTGGACAAAAATAAACATCCTCCTGCTGAATCCCATTATCAGATAAAAATGATCTGAAGGATCTGACATGAGTCACAACAACTCGAACAGTTAAACACAGTGTAGCTCCTCTCTCAGCGTATGACGGCTTTCCACGCGAATACTTGCTCACACCTGTTCATATGTAGCAGTTTATGGTTGGGTATCTTTCCCAAAAACACACAGACATGGTACAGGAAGACCTAGGTATTAAACCCACAACTTTCTGTTTGAGAGATTGTGGCTGTAATCACATTAAACTTTCCCGTCGAGAGCTGTGAGTCTGTTTTTAACATCGAATTTTACAGTCAACCAATCTAAGTTTTTAAATGATTATTTTTCCTTTTTAAGACACTTATTGCAGTCACTTTTCCAGGGGAACATGACATGATGAAGGACAGCATGTGCCTCTGAACTGAGAGGACCTCTTCTGTTTCCCATATTCTCTTCTTGGCAGGCCAACAGGCTATAAAATAAGTTAACACATTAATATCTCTTTGTTTCTACTGTGTATGGAAGTGTTTTGGAAATGACATTCAAGGATTAGAGTGTTTTTTTCTTTCTTGAGATAATGGGATATTTATCTTGTTATTTCAAGTCCATCAGTTATGTCCAGTCCCATTCACACAGTACTGGGCACAGCCAGCTGGCATTTGGGCAGCTCTGGTATAAAGCCCATGTCCTTCTGATTGAGATTTGACTGGCTTTACCAACTGAGCCACAGCTGTCCAAAGCCCCCCATTAGCCAGACCATGAAATAAATAGATTAATGTAAACACACGCTTAATCTGTGAGTACATGTGAACTGCTGTGCACCCAAAACAACACCTTGTGTAGACGAGTTCATGGTAACTCCTCTGTTACTAACAGGCTGATGCTCTTCTCTGGGAGCCTCTGGTTTCTTTAGCTCTCAGCTCATATTAGTAAAAGTATTCTGGACATGTTGATATTTTTATGCAGCATGTCTCTCTCAGACTGCAGACAAACTGCCCCAAGTGCAGTGAAAGTTTGAAGCCTTTGTGGAGGAAATAATGTTGAGGTCAGGGCGAGTTTAGATGCCGCCACAGTGTGCAGGAGATGCAGTTCACAGATTGAGCAGCAGGGGGCAGCATGGACATGTTGACGTGGGATCCCTGCAGTGCGTCTGCAGCCTGAGAGACTGCAGTCAGGTCACTCAGCTGCTGTGGACTCACAGTTCACTTTACATCGCCCACCTATGTGTGTATTTATACTAAAATAAATACTTTATATTTATACTGTGGATTATTCTGAGCATGTATCCATCATCTTTTTGAGTTTGCAGTATCAAGCATAAAACTTTGGTATGCATTAGCATTTTAAATGGAGAAAGTGACTGAGCTCAGGGTTATAACACACATATAAAGAAACTGTGAAGTCCAAGTGTTTAAAATCAAAGATCGCTCACTAACATAAATGTACGTTCACACTTTGTGAGTCTTTAAAAATG